GGGGGTGGGACAGGGTTGAATGGGTCATCGGGGAGAAAAAGGGACATCTGTAATATTTTGAACAAAAAGAAAAAAAAAAAGAAGGGGGGAAAAAAAAAGGACAACAAAATCCAATGACTTTGAGGGGATCACAAGAGATGCATAACCTATAGCCATATCCTAACCAAATCCAAGGTAAATCTTTTCATCTTTTTGAAAACCATTTGATCACTCCCTCACAATTCTATTCCAGGTCAAACAATCTATATTCTTCCTACTCTTTCTCACCTATCAAGCATTAGAATTATTATTCCTTGGTGCATCTTGTTTTCCCTGTTCTTTTTCAAAGTATGGAACCTCAAACTTGATATTCCCATGAGATAACTAAAAGGTACCCTGCTTTTATGGGGGGGGGTGTGATTGTGAATTTGGGGAGTACACCACAGATGAAGTTTCGTTTATTCAACAAATATTTTTAAAGTGCTTATGATGTGCCAGACTGTATTTCTGCAGGGCTGACGGATTTGTCTAAGCCTTTTCTGTTAACCATTTAAGCCTTTTTCTCCCAGCCCAGGTGAGTATGAGAAAGCTCTGGGCCTCTGCCATTTTTGGAGAAGGGCAGCAAACTGTATAAATTCCTCCACTGTGGACAGGCAGACTGGTGGTTAATGGCTGTGGCATCCTTTGAAAATACCAGTGATGCCCAGAGTATCGTTCTTAGTTTTCTCTTAGGGAACTCCAAGGCTTTGTTTACACTGAAGTCTCAGGGTCTGAGTCGTAGATTCATTTGAGAAGCTAAGCAAATCTATGAATCTTCACAGAAAAAGCTCCATACTAAATTCTTCATACAATTTCAGGATGTTCAAGGACTCCCTCAATCTATCCTATAACCCACCGGAGTTAGGAGACTCTGTTTGAGTGGCATGTCCCTGTATCTAGCCAAAGGCCTCTATGGTCTCATTATTATTTTCATAATGAGTTGGCTTCTGAAGACAATGATGACACATCAACCAAATGTATGGTTAAGACTAAGGCCAGAAAGAGAGAAATCACATTGTTTGGAACACAAATTTAATATGACAGCATTTAATAGAAGTGGAAGTGGACTCTTGCATTTACACCCTGTTATGGGCTGAATTGTTTTCTCCCACAATTCATATGTTGAAACCCTAAGCCCCAGAATATGGCTGTATATGGAGACAGGGTCTTTAAAGAGGCGATTAAGTTAAAATGAACTTGTTAGGGTGAGCTTTATCCAATATGTCTCGTGTTCTATAAGAAGAGAACATTTGGACACACAAGGAGACACAGAGGAAAGACTGTATGAAGAGGGAACAAGACAGCCAACATGAGATTGGTGTTCATTAGTCTATTAGCCAAGGAGAGAGGCTTCAACAGAAAGGAACCCTGCTGACACCTTGATCTTGGACTTTTAGCCTCCAGAACTGAGAAAATAAATTTCTGTTTATTGTTGTAACTGGAGCAAACAAAACTCCATAAGAAAAGAACAGGGGATGGAGATAGGAGAGACATTTGGCTTTAGAGCACCAATGTCAAAGCTATATGAAAGACATACAGGGATTTAAGTTTATTTTAAATACAGTAAAAATAAAATACTTGCTGACCCTCCCTGTAGGGGTCCTCCTTACAGAGGCCCTGTCTTTGAGAACAGCAGTCTTGACCATGAAACTTGCTTCTGCCAAGGAAATGTGAGCAGAAGTGAGCAATAAGCAGTTTTTCATTATTACTTTATTTGCTACAAGATGAATAGTATCAGAAGTATTTAACCAAACACTGGTGATACCTTGTCAGAAACAGTGAGGAGAAAATTTGTTGTTGTTGGTAATGTGGGGCCAGTGGTTTCTAAACATTTTTTAGTAATGTAACAAAATCTTAAAAGGAACCCTCAACAAAATAGTATTGTTTATTAGTCTAAATTTATTGTATACAGTCAAATTAATAACACTTAATTTGTATAAAGCCAATTACTATAACGGTGAGGCTTTTCTGATGATCATAAAAATCTAGAATTGGGAATATTTACTCATCAATTGTTATCAAGTAGCCACTCTTTGCCAAGTACTGTTCTTGGCATTGGAAATACAACACAGTTAAGTTTCTTGGTCTCCTGGAGAACTTGAGTAGAGGAGACAGATGATCAACAACTAAACCAACAAATGAGAAAAATTTAAATAGTGAGAAGTGCTATAAAGAACAGATAATGCCATGTGGTGGAGAGTAGGTGGCTATGTGTAGACACAGTAAAGCGAGTGGTCTGAGACGACCTCTCTCAGGAGCTAACATTTGAGACGAAATCTGAGTGACAAGGAGGATTCTGAGCATGAATATTTTAGGCGGAGGAAATGGCAGTACAAAGGTCAAGGTGGAAACAGGCACATCTTTGAGTAACAGGGTGATGGCTGGGCTCTGCTACTGCAGAACAGGAGGGAGAGAGAGGTGGGCGAGGGACAGATCATGGAGAATCTTATGTGACTGTTCTTCTCAAACTATCTATGGTAAAGAACTTAAAAAATTTTTTTTCTTTAAATTTCAGCCACAGGCCACTATGTAATCCAACGTGACTAGTTTGCAGCATGTGCTACAAGTTCATCACCATGCAAGTTTGATACCCCCCCCACCCCAACGGGGCCCCGTTTTCAATGAGATGGGTTCACTGATCATGTGCTTGACATTGCGGCGATGTCAAATTGCTACGAATTTCTAAATGAGGACTTCTCATTTTTCTCCTTATTGTATGTACGGTCATGCAGCCCAGGAACACATGTGTGTGAATCTGTAAACCACACTCTGAGTAGTGCATGGAAAGGACCTTGGATTTTACTCTAAGTGCAGAGAGAAGCATACACAGGGGAGGTGAGAAACAGGAGAATCAAGGACCCGTTACAGGACGGTGGTGGCATTCTCGCCAAGATGGGAGACTGGTGGAGGGACAAATCTGGGAAGAGAGCAAAAGTTTTGCTTTGAACACGTTAAGTGAGAAATGTGTAGACCTCCAGGTGAGAGGTCAAGGAGGAAGTTAGATATATGAATCCGGGGCTCACAGCTGAGGCTTGGCTTGAGTTATAATTTTGGGAGTCACGATAGCCTGCATTTAAGGCCACAGACCAGGGGAGTAGTTATTTAGCAAGTGTTGCTATGAAATAAATGAGATCCCAAATCCTAGACCTGAGGCCATTCTGATGAGAGTTGTTGACTCCATCAGTGTCAGTATCCAGGAACTTTGAATCTAGTGTTTATGGAACCAGGGCATCACAAAACATAGAGTTAAATCCCAAAGTGTCACAAGGTTGTCATAAAGAGGGTGAACAAATACACATGGGAAGAGTGAATAACCTCCAAAACATCCTTCCAAGTCTGAGGTATTGAAATTCTAGTATTAATCAAGTTTCATATCCATGACATAGTGGGTTGAATAGTGGCCTCCAACAAACCATTCTGTGCCTCAGAAACTGTGAATGAGAACTTATTTGGTAAAAGGGTCATTGTGGATGTAAGATCTCAAGATGAGATCATCTTGGATCATCTCACTGGGCCCTAAAGCCAAGGCCAAGTATCTTTATAAGAGCCACACAGAGGAAAGACACAGATGGCAGAGGAGGAGGCCCTGTGACTATGGCAGAGGCTGGAGTGATGCTGAGGAATGGTGGCAGCTGACAGAAGCTAGAGGAGGCAAGGATGCTCCTCCAGACAGCCCCAGAGACACATCAATTTTAGATTTCTGGCCTCCAGAACTCTGAGAGAATACATTTCAGTTATTTGAAGCCACCCAGACTGTGGTAGTTTGTCAGGGCAGCCTGGGGAACCTACCATACGTGGACTCTTTTAGCTGACTCAATTCTAACATATCCTTTGGAGCTGTGTTTCATTCTGACCCAGTGATTCTCAACTCTGAGTGCACATTAGGATGGCCTAGAGAACTTATAAAAAAGGCTGAAGTCTGAGTCACACCCTCTGAGATTCTGTTTCATTGGGCTTGGGGTACAGGCTTGCTTTGGTGTACAGTCAGGGTTGAAAACTGTCATTTAATTAGTCACAACAACTTAATATCATGGGGTGACACGGGGGTACATGGAATGGGAACAGCTGTACAAACTTTTTTAACCTTAGGAAATTGCTCTGGAAATAACGTTCTGTATCTTTATGCCTACTAATATAAGTATTCTTAGGAACTGTTTGGACCAGTTTCATGTCAGCTATCTGTATGGACCTTTTGGACACTCAGACAGTCCTGTTTCCACCTCGAAGGGGTAAATGGATGCTCTGACAGATCTGGATGCCCCCCTCGCTGCCCCAAAAGCACTAGGGGAGGCATTGCCTTCTAGATCGATGATGCTTAACTTTAGCACAAATCAAAAGATGTCACTGGCAAGCCCTTGCTCCAAATTGTTTCACTGCCTTCCTTACAGTTAAATAATGAAAATTTTGAATTTCTTGTGGCATGGTACTTCATGTAATAAAAAAAAAAAAATCTGCAGCCTGGATGTGCTGAATAGGAGAATAGTACGTTATTATTTGGAGGGAAAAGGGTCCCTAATTGTGGAACAAAGCAATTCCTTGTATGTCAGCCCTAAATAAATGTTTCTTTATTTCTAAAGTTGCGTGACCTCCTGTAGTGGTCTTTCTAGCACGTCAGGGAGCAGTCAGGAGTGAATTGCAGTTAGCAATGCATGCTCGTTTGTAAAGGGCCTTTGACAAGGAGTTCACTGCATCTATTGACTCCCTGGGAAGTCTGAGGTCACAAGCTTGGCTGGAGCACATGAACTCAGATAATGAAGATGGTTTTACCCTCTTGAAACAAAGCCAGAAACTTTATCTACTTCATTGTGCACTTTGGGTCATGTGCTAACCATGAGGATTTCTCTAACACTAATCCCCCTAATGACGGCTTCTCCCAGCCCTTACACAAACCCCACGAGGCCCCGTGGCTGGCAATTCAGACAGAATAAAGGCAGCTCGGCGTTTGCCTTTTGAACTGAGTTCAAGGCAATTAAAGTCATGGGCTAAAGAGTAAAGGAGGGGGGTTAAAAATACCATCATAATAAGTAGTATGACTGGAGTGCTCTGCAAATTAACTCAATTAGACAAAGTCTGATTTAACGGGGGAAAGAGGGTGAGAAGCGCTACCCTCATTAAATCCGGCTGTTAGAGGCGTTTTCTAATAAAATTAAATTCGTTTTAGTTGTTTGGATCACATAAAACAGGCTGCATGTGCATGTACACACGTGCATATGCGTGGGTTCTGTGATTTTGTGGGTATTTTTTAGAGGAGAGGAGCAGACCGCAAAACAAAAATATACGAAAAACAAAAACAACCAAAAATAAAAAACTGAGTGAATGCTCAAGAGCCCGAGTGGAAGACAAGAAGAAAGCAGGATAGAAGGAGTGGAAAGCGAGAGACCGTGCTCCTGATTATAAAGCCATGAGCCCTCTTTGGTGGGCGCTTCTGCTCAGCTGCCTGGGCTGCGGGCTCCCGCCCAGGGCCCGGGCGCAGTTCCCCCGGGTCTGCATGACGGTGGCCAGCCTGGCGTCCAAGGAGTGCTGCCCGCCCCTGGGTGCGGAGCCGGCAAACGTCTGCGGCTCTCAGGAGGGCCGCGGCCGCTGCTCGGAGGCGCGGGCCGACACCAGGCCCTGGGGCGGGCCTTACTTCCTGAGGAACCAGGACGACCGCGAGCGGTGGCCACGGAAGTTCTTCAACCGGACCTGCAACTGCACAGGTGAGGCGGCCCTTTCGGGGGCACCTGGCTGGCTCCAAACCTAGTGGGGAAGACCCAGCTGGGCAAGGAGCCCCTTCCAAGGACAAGAGGAGACGCATGAGACTGCTAGGTAGGCTTTGAAAGGCAAACCAAGTTTGTTCCTCAGAGGCAGCAAATTGAGTGAGGCTGGTGTCTTGGTTATGTATTCTCCATGCCCTCTGGAACATGTAGTTATGGAATCTAAATAAATATCACACGAGCCAAGCCTGGCTATATGAACTCATGCCAACATACCATTGGCTTGTCTGTTGGAAGCTGCAGAGCTCAAGAGTCAGCTTTGAAAGCCGGTGCAAGTCCTTTCACGATGGATTCAATGCCCTCTCCCGAAATGGGTTTGCACTTGTTGAAGAGGGCGGTGGGTGAGGTTGGCATCTACAAGACAGGCGTCAAAGGCAGGTGTTCTGTAGTCTTCGTCTCCGCCTTTCGAATGATTTCAACAGGTCTCAAGCAGGAGAAAGTTATGCCTGGGTCGTAACTTTTCCAGGCCTGGAGAGACTTGGCAGGATAAAGCTTTCTCGGTCACCTGGGAAGGGAGGCTTGCTATTAGATAGCAGTGGCCTTTTCGCTCTTGTCTGGGTTTGAGTGGGCATTTCAAATTTGTTCAGTGTCCCTCTTTTCAGCTTTGGTCTCTCTTATTTCTTTGAAATCTCTGTGCACTTCTAATTCCTCTGGCCCTTCTGAGCCTTCTCAAGTCCTCTTCACAGGGCTCCCCTCCAGTGCTCAGCAGCCACGACAGCCCCGATAAACTCTCAAAGGCGGCCAGGGCATTTGAAACACAAAAAGCATACGCGGCAATGTTAGCAAGGCCCTCGGACGTGGTCCTACAGTGTCCAGCTGCATAAGAGGTTTTCCTTTTTAAATTATGTTTTTGTATGCCACTGGAACACAGGAAAATACAGATAATTGAGCTACATAAGGTTATAAAAAGTACACTAAGGGAATGCACAAAGGATTGTGATGTTAATTAGGAATGATGTTAGTTATTTTAAACGTTAAAAAGAATTCTGGCTTTATGATAATTTTGTAGTCATATAGTTAATTCTGTGATTCAAAGAAAACTGTTAGTTTTGCCTTGAGCATTAATTGTGACAAGAAGTCTTTAATAGCATATTGAATATATACTATCCATAGTTTTCTAAGCCAATTGAGTATTTGCTTCTATAGACATTATCTTTAGATTCTCATGGCTTTCCAGTCTAATGAGAAGCAGTAGGCTTCATATAACTTGTGCAATTGGAAAGCACACAACACAGTAACTTCTTTGTCTATGACTCAAAATTTCTTCCAGAGCACTTATATCCCTGTTAATCAATGTTAGAGTACCACACAGTACACAGATTGGAAATCTCTGTTGTGGTATCTTGAGACAGAGAGCATTAGGAAATCAGCTATAACCTTTCACTGTTCTTATCACCATCTATTTTATCTTCTTGACCTGGGTCCAAAAAACCAAGTTTGTTTGTTTGTAAAGGTGGGGATGGAAAAAACAGAGAATGGCAGGATAGAAGGGATCATTGTAATCTCCCTTTCCTGAGGGAATGCTTATAAATATTTCTCTAGAAGTGACAGTAAATTAGGGTCCCAGTGACTTACATTCAAAACATAAAAAGGGACCCTGAGCTCTGAGGAGGATCGGCATACCTAAGAGGCAGGGGACAGAAACAGTGCCTGTCCTGTAAGTCCAGGATGTAAGGACCTCACATGTCCATAAGCAGAGCTTCCTGAGGCTGTATGGTCTCCAATGCCAGCCACTGTAAGGCCAAGACTGCTTCTGAGACCCACTACAGAGTTATGACTCATTTTGGCTATGGTGATTTTATCTGTGCAGACTCACCCATCCCAACTTTGGATGGCTCCACTTATGTTAGCTAGATGGTCTTTTTCTTTGGGTCTCAGGGCACCAGACTAAGTCCTTAATGACTGAGCTGGAAAGTTACTTAGTATACACAGTAATCACTGTGATGTATCATATGTTCCAAAGCAAGACACATGTTTTAAGTGTCTTCTTCTTAAAGAGTGAGCTGCTTGCCTTCCTAGGGTAGCTTTTTCATCACCTACGAGCCAGTCTTCAGAATTTAAACCTAATTTAAAAAAAATTTTTTTTTTAATTTTTTATTTATCATTATCATTATTATTTTAAAATATATTTTTATTGATTTCATAGAGAGGAAAGGAGAGGGATAGAGAGATAGAAACATCAATGATGAGAGAGTCATTGGTCGGCTGCCTCCTGCACACCCCCAACTAGGGATCGAGCTAGCAACCCGGGTATGTGCCCTGACCGGGAACCGAACCCCAATCTCCTGGGTCGTGGGTGGACGCTCAACCGCTGAGCCACGCCTGGCCAGGCTAAACCTAATCGTGAGTGCTCCAAAGCCCTCTTCTCTGGTAGCCTCATAATTGCTTTGCAAATAGGATCCCTGGGATTCTTATGGGGTCACCCAAAATTTAAGGAAAAGGTGTAGATTAGCTTCTGGCAAACAGACTATCGATGACCTTGAACTTTGTTACTTTAGTGGAAAAATAAATACACCATTCATCTGTTGCTGGACATTTAGGTTGTTTCCATATCTTGCTACTGGAAATAGTGCAACAGTGAACATGGGGATGCTAATATCTCTTTGAGGTCCTAATTTGAATTCCTTGGGATTGCAGGATCATATAATAGTTCTATTTTTAAGTTTTTGAGGAAGCTTCATACTATTGTCCATAGCAGTTGCACCCATTTGCATTCCCACCGATAGCGCACAAAGCTTCCAGTTTCTCCACATCCTAGCCAAATGGTGTCTGTGTGCAATTAAATACTATTCAACTTGAAAAAAGAAGGAAATTCTGCAATATGGAACAATATGGATGAACTTGGAATATTATGCTAAGGAAATAAGTCAGTCACAGAAAGACTAATACTGCATGATTCCACTTCTATGAAGTATCTAAATTAATCAGATTGAGCAAGATAAGTCTGACAGTTCTCTATAGCTTTGTACCTACAATAATGTATTGCACACTTAAAAGTGTGTTAAGAGGGTAGATCTTATGTTAACTGTTCTTGCCACAAAAAATAAAAATAAAAAGATTAACACACCATACTTCTTATGACCTTGAAATTGGTAAAACACTTTAGCCTATTTAATTAAAATAATTGCAAACTCTGAGGGGGAAAGCCCTAAATTATGTGCTCAAATTCTCTAGAGAGAACTTCTCTATTTTCTGTGACGATAAATTGAAACCATAACATTACTGAACTTAATTGTCAGGAAGAACTGAATTTCAGGAGACTCAGCCATTCACTTTATAAGTTGTACCTGCCAGATGGCATTTCTGAGACTAACCAGTTGCAGCTGTCTTTAGACTTTTGAAAAACATGAACACTTTTTGAACAGTTGTCTGAGAACTTCTTGTTTGTACAAGTGACTAAGTGCCTCCATTTTCCAATCTCTGAAATGGAGGTAATGATGAAACCACACCTGTAAAATCCTTTTGAGCTCTATAGATGAAAGGCCCTATGTGAGTATAAAGTATTGTTATTAAAATAATAGAATCTCTAATTAAAAGGAATAGGCTATTTAGAGCTTCTTATAAATTCACTAATCGGTGGTCTTTAAGCTTATTTAGTCTAATAGCCTCCTGGGGTTGAGCTGATGTAGTTCATGTAGGAACATGCATTGTTTGGTTGCTCTCAGTCTCTTTCCATTTTTATCCCCAGTCCTAAGTCAGGACTTCATCTTTTTAAATTTAAGTTTTGCTTAAGGACATACTCAATGGTAGATAGATTGGAATCTAGGGATTCTTTATTTTTCTTCTCTCTCCGTTTCTAAAAGGGCCCTCATTTAAAAAAATTTTTTTTTTTTTTTTTTTTTTTTTTGCTGCTGCTATTGGTAGATTAAGGGGAAAAATTAACTCATGTTAAATTAATACAGGGAGCGTCTAGGAAATCTAAATTTAAGAAATAAATATTTTGGGTGCTAGGGTTTTTTCATTGTTGCACTTTTCACTTGTCTTCAGCATTAAAAAAAAATTTAGACCAGGTTTAGGAGCTAAAAAACGAAAAAGATCTGCAGAGCTTTGGAGTATTTTCTCTGAGACATAGTGAAAAATGAATTTTTAAATTGCATACATTTCTGGGTCGCAGGTGAGTTCAAATCCAGACAAATGCTTTCTTATTACTGCTTCTACATTGCTTTTCAGGGGCAACTCTGGCTTTGGGAAAAGAGAGATCTTTGTTCAACATAATTGTGAAACACCTGTGTTCTTCTCAGTTAGAATTAATCTTTTTGTCTTTTGTCATCCATGACCCTTGGTTGCTTCCTCTGTTTCACTTTCCCCATAGTTAGACTTGTGCTGATATTTCTTCAATACCATGTCCCCCACATGTCCTCCACCTCCCCTAGATGAAGGCACTGTGCCTTATTTATGTTTGTATCCTCTAGTGCCTAATGCCTTTTATTCAATTATTTAGGGATCTCTTCATCAAGAGTCCAACCCAGGGATGCAAAGTACAGCATAGGAAATATAGTCAGTCATATTTTAATAACTATGTATGGCGTTAGAGGGGTGCTAGATTTACTGGGTGATAACTTAGTACTTATATAATATCTAATCACTGGGTTGTACACCCAGAACTAATATAACATTGTATGTCAACTATAATTGAAAAATAAAAAATTATTTAAAGTAAAAAAATAGTTATACAATTTCAGTAGGTACCCTGAGGGAAAATAGACTCCAGGCTCCATGAAGCTTTAAGCACCTTGAGTAGCATCTGATACTACAGTAGCTGCCAATAAATACTTGTTAAATAATTTGTTTAATAGCTTCACTCAAACAATCAATATGAATTTTAATGTTTAACTCAAATTATTCAAAAACATAATTCTTCAAAATATTCTCATTGAATACAGTGTTTTTTAGATTCTATTTTACTGAGGTGTCCAAGCATCAGTGGGGATGCTGGATCCCTTAGAAAAGCCAGAACTCTATTTGTTCTTCAGGCATTATAGTCATCCACTTAGAATATGTGGTAGGTTCTCTTAAGACAGTAAACTGAACAAAAGAAGAAACAAAACAAACACATGATTCTTCAGTCTCAGGACTAGTAGAATTTTTCCTTTTCAGTGTTTTTTACTTATGTTCTCATATGGAGTTGAAACATGGGAAAATACAGATAATTGAGCTTGTAAATGTGTATAGAACATTATTTTGCATGTGACAAAGAGCATTGAGCACAAATAACCAATTACTCTGGAAAATATCCTACTACTTACGACAGTTTTAAGGACATTTTCTTTAACTATCAAGAAATCCTTTGAGTTAATAGAAAAGAGGGCTGTGCATTTTCTTTACGTGAAACAAGAGCTCATTGTTTTGCTTTGCTATTGGAAAGTTTTCTTTTTCTTTAGAGATCCAAATAGCCCTCTCTCTATTATGGTGAGAGTATTTTGTACTTATTTCTATTTTGGTACCTATTGTTTATCAAAACTATTTTACAAAGCCAGCTTTCCTTCTACTCCACAAGGACAGGAGAGGCAAAAAGAAGGCTTATGTTTATTGAATTATCTACTATATGCTTTATACTCATTTCTTTAAAACTTAATTTTTTAAATTAATTTTTAAAACATTTTAAAACTTTTCCCCCCCTTAAATTTCAGCTTTATTGAGGTATAGTAGACAAATAAAATTGTAAGATATTTAAAGTGTATATCGTGGTGATTCAGCTTTATATTTCTTTCATTTGTTCAACAAATATTCATTTTTTACAAGGCCAGGCACAGGCCTCAGCAGCAGGACAACCACCTTGCAGGTGCGTGTCAAGTAGAAGTTTCCAGTCAGTGTAATAAATACAGTGAATGGGGAGGAGGAGGTACTATGGGAGCACAGCAGTCACGCAGGTGAAATGCTTTACAAACCCCCTCCCATCCCCTGGGTGGTAAGTATTATAATCCCTTTTTGTTTCAATATTCCACTCCAGTAATATTTAAATGTTTACTCTCTAACTTATCACAAGCTAAAGAATGAGGTACTGGCTATAACAAAAGCAATACTCAAGGCTAAGAAGGGAAAAGTCAAAAGCAAGCTGAAATAATGTAAACTTCAGCGTTTATCAGAAAGATGCTTATAGCTTGAGAAGACTAGTGCTCGTTGCCTGGGCGGACAGAGCAGGGCATTTGTGCAACCACAGGGAACCTGCAGTGATTTGCACTTCCTGACACCATGGCAGCTAATTCACCTTTACGACCTGCCAGCTTCCATTGATTTTGCCTTAACTCTGTCTCCTTTGTGAAATGAACCAGCTTTCTTAATGTTAGGTTTCACCTAAATTCTTGGAAATCAGCTTATTTATTTTGGTTTCACCTTATCTTAGTGTATAATCTCTCCTCTAAATCAATGAACTGTTTTGTGTCAGCCTTTTAGCGTATGCCACAGGATAGCAGGGCTCAGCAGCTGGACACCGAGGCTGCTGCTCGGCCCCAGGGAGGGGCATGGAGATCTCCACATGCAGTCACGTCCTGAGGTCCTGGGGGTTAGGGCTTCAACATACTAATTTGAGGGGAAGACAAAGTTCATTCCATAACAGCATGTAATACACTTTGTATCCCATTTCTTTGCAGGACAAATATCTAGGAAACTCTCTAGTGTTCAGGTCACTTTGAGATACAAACGTTTCAAGAGAGTAAGGGGAAGAAGTTGGCTTTCTTTTCCCTCTTGTAAGCACCTTCACCTTCTCGTCCATTCTACCCTAAAGTTCAAATTCAGAAATTTCTTTCAAACTCCATTAACTTATTTCTTCCATCTCCCCTTAATGCTCTAGGAAACTTTGCTGGCTATAACTGTGGAGACTGCAAGTTTGGCTGGACCGGCCCCGACTGCGATCAGAAGAAACCACTGGTTATTCGAAAGAACATTCATTCTTTGACTCCTCAGGAGAGGGAGCAGTTCTTGGGTGCCTTAGACCTTGCGAAGAACACCACACACCCGGACTACGTGATCACTACGCAACACTGGCTGACTCTGCTTGGGCCCAATGGGACTCAGCCACAGATCGCCAACTGCAGCATTTATGATTTCTTTGTGTGGCTCCATTACTATTCTGTTAGAGATACATTATTAGGTGGGTTTCCCCATTAGATTAATGTATATTATCATAGGTTTGGGTTTGGGGTGGGTGGATGGACGATAATTTCAGGCAAGCTAATTAACCAGAGCACAGCCCGAAGGAGGGGCAGGTTTGTGAGGGGCAGAGAATTGTCCAACGCTGCCAGTTAGGCTGGCGCGGCTTCTGCCTGCGTTGGCTGCAGACATTTGAAAACGCTCTCTCCTGTGGTTTGTGTTTTGAGTTCAAAGTCCAGCTCTTCTCTAGGAGGTGATTAATTCTCAAAAGCAGGTAAAGTGAAGGCAAATTCCTCTTAAAAACATATGGTTTTTGATTTTAGAAAGAGAGGGAAGGAGGGGGAGAGAGGAACATTGGTGAGAAACATCAGTAGGCCGCCTCCTGCATGCCTCCCTGCTGGGGATCAGCTGCAGCCCAGGCGTGTGCCCTGACTGGGGAATTGAACCAGCGACCCCTGGGTGCATGTGACTATGCTTAACCAGCTGAACCACACCAGCCAGGGCAAGGCAAATTCCTTTTGATTCCAGAAGAAAACATTTCTAAATCGGTCCATGGAAGCCCTCTCTGACCTTTTCTTCAGATTAGAGGAATTAACTAAACATGTGATAAAGCACATGAAATTTCTTTGGGCAGAAGTAGAGTGTTTGTGTTGGAAGCATCTCATTAAACTCACATGTATTAGTCTTTAGACATTCAGGTCATTGTTTATGGTGTCCATGCACTGCTGGAATGCCCAGGGTTTTTCTGGAGTTGTACTGTCAAGAAAAAGCATACCCACAGCAATGGAGTGTTCCTTCTGGCTTAGTTATTTGACTACAGTTATGTTTGATACTAGAGAAAATGGTGCTCTGCCCTTCTGGATCCTAAAAATTGGAGCCTGGGTAGGATGTAGAATGGGAGGACCTTCATTAATCTAGTAGGTTCAGTTTCATCCTCAGTCACTTATCAGGCAGGAGAAAGCCATAAACCCTAGTTTGTTCCAGGGGCGGGGGGTTGAGTCCATTCCAGGGTCTGCTCAGGGCAGTTCTGAGCCCTTGGCTACACCTGCAATTATCTCCTCTTTGGGGGCCCCTCCCTGGGGGTCAGGGTGAATGATGACATCAAGCTCACTTTGAATAGTCCCCTTCTCATTTGGAATTGTCTCTCCTTGTGTCTATCCCTGCTTCCCCATCACTTGATTCTCCTCATCATTTTTTATTTTAACTTTATTTTTTTTTAATTAATTTTTTTTTCAATTACAGTTGACATCCAATATTATTCTCCCTCATTGTTTTGTTTTGAGAACTTTAAACTTTGTTCTGGGTTAAAATATTTAAAAAGGACTGTGTAGCCAACCAGTCCTTCCGTCCGTGGCAGTCTTTAAAAAACTTGTCTCTCAGGTAAGCATCTGTCTTTCTTTATCGAGAGAGAAGGAGGCTCTTCTGGCTATAAACCTTTATAGCTTTCCTGTCGTGACTCCGAGGAATCTTTGCTTTATGAGAGGCTAGTCTCTCAAGAGGAAAAGAAACCTATAGCTTCTGGTCGTATCTAGGAATTAAATTTATATTCATGTCTCTTCAGCTCTCTGAAGTTATTATAGGTACTTTGAAAAAGAATGAAAGTTAGCTAAAGTTTCTACATAACAGTCAAAAGCTGTCAAGAAAGGTGGAAGAAGCATGGACCAGGAAGTAGGGGGGTCATTAAATTGCCCACAACTTTTCAGTAAAATTGGCAGATCCAGTGGCAGCCAAATTGGTTTGAATGTATTTTTCACTCTTCTAGTTTCAGTGACCACGCTTGTCAGCTAGTAGTTGTAACCAATTGATGGCTAAGGCAAAATTTGTGAAAGTTCTTTTTGGTTGTATAAATGCCGAATTAGACTAAGTGCAGTAAAGTTGCTTTATTCTTAATTAATCCCTCCCTTATAAATGTATGCATTTGTAAGGAATCGGTTGGAAAATGTCTTTTAAAAATATATTTCATTTAGGTCTTTAATGATCTATTCCTTTGGCTACTCTGATGTCATCTTAATGGAATATTGCTTAAAATTAAATATATAACATGAGCTCTTAAAGCTGAAAATGATCTGAAGTTTTCTGGATCTCTGCTGGCAATCAAACTTTTGAGAGATGAAGGAGAATTTATCCTAAAAGTGTTAGTTGCTTCTGAATTGTTTTATTGTTGATGTTGCTTTCAGAGAGATAAATCACAAAAACGATTTCTTTGGACTAAAACACTATGGATTTATTGGCTTTGCAGACACATTCTAGGTAAGGTTTAACTTTTTAAAAAACTCTATTCTGTGATCTCTAATTAGTTTCCCAATTATTTTAGGACCAGGGCACCCATACAAGGCCATTGATTTCTCACACCAAGGACCTGCCTTTGTCACCTGGCACCGGTATCATTTGTTGTGGCTGGAAAGAGATCTCCAGGTTGGTGAAAACTATATCTTTGGTTCTTTAAATTCTGCTATACATTTGGTGAAGATCCATATCAGTCTTTGCATTATATGCTTTCTTGTTGTTTCTGATGACATGCTCTTTGCTTTTAGCGACTTATTGGCAACGAGTCCTTTGCTTTGCCCTACTGGAATTTTGCCACTGGGAGGAACGAGTGTGACGTGTGTACAGACCAACTGCTTGGGGCAGCAAGACAAGATGATCCGACTCTGATTAGTCAGAACTCAAGATTCTCCAGCTGGGAAATTGTCTGTGATAGGTAACCACATCTGATCCAGACTGGAAATCCAGAGACTGGATTTTCTTATGTCTGAGGGATGGAGAGTCACTTTATATTTCTGTTTCTAATGCATGTTGGGTTCTGTTCATATGTTTCTGAAAATGACTTTCCTGGGGAAGATGGGATTTCTAAACATTCTAAGCCCTTTCATAAAAAAGAGAGGTATGGCCCGGGTCGGTGGGGCTCAGTTGGTTGGAGCGCAGTCCCATGAACCAAAGGGCCCCTGGTTCAATTCCTGGTCAGGGTTCATATCGAACAAGTTGCAGGTTCGATCCCGGTGGGAGCTCCTGAGGGAGGCAACCCATTGATGTTTTTCTCTTGCATCAATGTCTCTTTCTCTCTCCCTAAAATCAATAAAAAAGCATATCCTCAGATGACGATTAAAAAAAAAATAGTGGTATGAAAATCATTTTAATTGAATACGCTTGGTCATCATTTTTAGATCAACTATTTTAGCACCTGTCATATTCTAAGCATTGTAATAAGGCTGGGACTATAAGGACTTTAAAAAAAAAATATTGTTTTATATTTACAAAGGTGGATTGCCTCTAAACAAATTATAGTACAACATGGGAAGTATCATAATAGATGTATGTGCAAAGCTAAGGAGAGAGGCAGGGGAAGGCTCTTAGTGGCGATGATTATTCCGAGACTTTAAGGAGCCAGACCTCAACCAGGTAGGGGAGGGTGGTAAGTGTGTCCTAAGTGGAGGGAATATCATGGATAAAGCTAGAAAGTCTCTGGAAGCAGTCAGATTTGGCTGGAACCATAGGGTGCTGGGAGCTGAGAGGAACAGGGGGTGGGGCAGGGTGCGGGTGAGCTCTAAATACTAAAGAACACAGAAGAAGGTGAGCTGCCAGCAGCTAGGAAAGAAGTCTGTCCTCAGTGATTTCTTGAATTTGTTTCTCTTTTCTGGCAGAAAAAGATCTCCCAAAAGACTTCCTTTATTCATTTGTTTCTTCCAATATCCTGTTTTAACCCTGCTATCTAGCTCCCCTGTCTGGTGTCTTTTGACTGCTCCAGGGCACAGAGCTTCATTGTCAATACCCGGAGGCCGGGCATGTGCATATATTCAGGGGTTGAAGCCCAGCAGGGATCCCATGTCTACATCCTAAGCTTTCCCTCCAGCCCTCCAGACAGTGGTTCACACTATGGAGGGGTGTAGCAGTGCTTTTTATGTGACTTAGCAGAATTTCATAAAGCACCATTTCTCATAGTGTCTTGAGGTATTAATAGGTGGCATGCGATTTCTATAAATTTAGGGAATGCTGAATTTTAGAATGACTTCGGGTGTTCCTTTGGTAAGTGTGTTACTATTCTTCAAGAGTTGCCTAAACTTATCTGACCCTGGCACCCTTATTTCACAGACCATGTCACTGGGACACACTTGGGAAATGCTGCTGTGGAGGCTTTTTTTTGGCCTAGTTTTAGGCACAGGCCTCTTTCAACCTCGTGTGCGCTGATTCTACTCTCACACCCCTGGTATTATTCTCTCACCCATTAAAACCCACAGAGAAACAGCTTTAAAGTTTCATCTCTGTCAGTGGAATGACACTCTGATGGTGGAATGTCAGACCACAGCAGGCATGTAGAATATAATATTTTTTGGGCATGGAACTTTCTCAGCTTCCATGTTCATGACATAACCATTCCCACTGCCTTGGAGCATTTGCTAATACAGCGCTTGTCCTAATACCTCCCTCCATATCGTTTCATCTGTTTCCACTCTGACCGCCTCCATTTGCCTTCAGTTTGCCTAAAATGCTTTTCTAGCTTTACGTAGGCCCTTCTGCCCCAACTGGCTTAGTTCAGGGGAGTTCTGGTCACCCTCTTCTCTCTTCAGTTCGTCAGGATTCAAGTGCACATAATAAGAATCACAATCTTGTCTGTAAATCCTCTTACAGTCTTTACAGTGGAATGGTACTTATACATACTTATTCATAGATCATAGTTGCATCTATATTTTTGAAGCTCTTTAATCCATAATTACTTTTGTAAGTAGCACTTTTACCACATATTTTTGACCCTTGTAAGTTAACTGCAACACACTTTATGGTATCACTCTGATTGATTTGCTTGGCCCAAAGTTATGATATTCTCTACACATTGACATATCCTTTCTTTAATCCCCTCACGAATCTTAGCTTAGATGACTACAACCGCCGGGTCACTCTGTGTAATGGAACCTATGAAGGTTTGTTGAGAAGAAATCAAGTGGGAAGAAATGGTGAGAAGTTGCCATCCTTAAAAGATGTACAAAATTGTCTGTCTCTCAACAAGTTTGACAACCCTCCTTTCTTCCAGAACTCCACCTTGAGCTTCAGGTAGGTGCTCTGAACTCTGCTAGACTGGCACTTGACAATACTTTTAGGTTTTCATGCCCATGATTGAAATGAACTGAAAGGAAATCCAGGTGTTAGGAGACATTTACAAAACTAAGTAATGGAGGGGGGCTTGATAAGGAGAAATAACCAGGGATTAGTGTTAGAAAAGTCATCATCTACCCCCTATAAATAACAATGTAGTTTTAATAACTTAGCTATTTAAAGCCATTTTTTTTGCATCTCTAATTTCTGTACATACAGGGTATCCCAAAATAATGTATACACACTTTAACAGCTGATAGCTCAATTTTGAAAATAAGATGTATTTTAATAAGCACTGCCTTTATAATTACTCAGTGTGTATACATTTGGGGGGGACACCCTATATATAAGTACAGTCTTCAGAACAATGGTACCTCATTAAACATAGTATTTAAAAACATTTGCAAAAAAGTTTGGTTCATGCTCTTTCTTTTTTAAAATACATCTTTCTTTATTGATTTCAGAGAGAGGAAGGGAGAGAGAGAGACAGAGATAGAGGTGATGAGAGAGTTGTCATTGACCAGCTGCCTCCTGCACGCGCTCAACTGGGGATCAAGCCCGCAACCCAGGCATGTGCCCTGACCGGGAATCCAACCACAATCTCCTGGATCATAGGTCGATGCTCAACTGCTGAGCCATGCCTTGCCAGGCCATGATCTTTCTTTTACTTTTCTGTCTTTTTTTATTTTTATTATTTTTTAAAATTATATCTTTATTGATTTTCAGAGAGAGGAAGGGAGAGGGAGAGAGAGAGATAGAAACATCAATGATGGGAGAGTCATTGATCGGCTGCCTCCTGCCCGCCCCTCACTGGGGATCGAGCCCACAACCTGGGCATGTGCCCTGACTGAGAATCGAACTGCGATCTCCTGGATCCCATGTTGATGCTCAACTGCTGAGCCATGCCCAGCCGGGCTTTCTTTCTTTTTTTAAAAAAAGTATCTGCCATAGATCTTAATATTGGGGTCTGATATCTCAGAGGAGAATTACAGACTTAACGCAACTCAAATTACAACACAGCAATGACATTACCATGCTTGAAATGTAAAGGTCAGCTAATAATTCTCTCCCTCTAAAAAAACGTTAAGAATTGCGAGAATTATGTGTGTATATGATTTTCAACAAAGATAAATGGGATGCCAAAAAGAAATGGTGGATAGATTCATATTCTTCTCCTAAACTGGATTTTCTCTCTCTCATCTGTGTGTAACTGACCGGTTATTTAGGGCCAGGCGCAGGCGAGACTGAACTTAAATGCAGAGGTTGTGTTAAGCGTAGCAGGTCTCAGGGTCTGTGGTGGGTTGGCACAGCCCTCAGGGTAGTGTGACATGAAGGGCAACTTTGAAGACTGACTTTAAAAGGAACATGCGTTAGTTTTTCCACTGGGATAAAATGCTTCTGACATAGATTGCATTCCATATAGATTCAAGAGAGTGGTTCTCAAAATGTGGTGTGCAGACAACCATAAACAGCATCACCTGGAATTTGGCTAGAAATACAAATTGTTGGAACCCAGCCTGCACCTACTGAATCAGAAACTCCAGTAGTGGGGCTTGAAATAAGAGTTTTTCTCCAGTGATTCTGGGGTATGCTCAAATTTGAGGATCACTGAGTTAGAGTATGGACAATTAGAATTTCCTGAAAATGGAGAGGTTGAAAAAAAAGGATAGGGAAATTTGGGGATGTTTAGAACACTGAATATAAATTACAGTAAGCTTCAGGTCTATTTAGTTGAGAAATAAGAATAAAATATTATATGTTAATTCAAAAAATGTCTATTGATCACAGACCAAGTGGTGGGTATGGCACTGAGCCCTGACAATAAAACTCTGAAGAAAACTGCCCTCTAGGGGTTCATCACCTGGCATGGGAGACAGATGTGAAGGTAAAAAATTTTCATACAGGACACAAAAGAGATATAATCTAACTGAGCAGGTGAAGAACTGGTGCTGAAAATGAATTCCCTCCCCTTAAAGGATTATTTCTTAGTTAATGAGCCATGGCAGAGCTTCCCATTTCCCTACCCAATCTCAAATTAGAAGATGATTATGTAGGCTGGAGCAAATAAAAAGACCTTTATCAATTTGTGACTGTTGCTGCTGACATACTGCTTTCTCTTAGGAATGCCCTGGAGGGGTTTAATAAAGCAGATGGGACCCTGGACTCTCAAGTGATGAACCTTCATAATTTGGTTCACTCTTTCCTGAACGGGACAAATGCTTTTCCACATTCTGCTGCCAATGATCCTGTTTTTGTGGTATGTGCAAGGACTCAGAATAGAGAAAAGATTTTCTAGATAATATGTTAGATTTATTTTCTTTTCAATAAGATTAAAGTTTGGTATGTGTTTTATTCTCTGTGCAAACAATGGGATGTATACATATGAAAACTAACTTTAATCTGCACCATAGGGGTGGTTATAGAGCGTTTGAGGTGCCCTTATCAGAAACTTGCACTTTAGAGATGGTTAGCTTTGGAATGATTCTAGATAAGAGCTTACAGTCGAGGGGTAGATTTGTAAATTAGCATAATGATATTATAAATTATGTCATAATTTAGCATAATTTATACTATAAATTAGCATAATGATGAATGATTTTTAATTGGTGGAATTAGTGGTGTTGAAGGTAAGTGGTAGGCTAGATGGATTTTGTAGACACCATGATCCTTGCATGAAGTCCAGCAAATCTGGCACCTTAGAAACAGCACACAAAGTCCAAAGCTCTATTTGGTGTTTGGCCCTGGTCCCCTCACTTCACAAAGGATTCTAATTGAACATCAGTTGCTCCTGCTGTCAGAATATCATTGTGTTTACTTTGGAGTGAATCTTTCATGCAAGACACTTGCCAGAGGAAAGCTTGGACTTCCCTGGGTGTACAAGAACGGGTTCTTTCACTTCTGTGTCTACTTGCTAATAAGTGTTTGTAGGTTTACTAGAATTTGGTCTTATATTTGCTTTCATTGTTTCACACACCTAGTAGCAAATATACTTGAGATGGTGGGACACATGGCCACTGTCCAACCCCAATTGCAGGAGCTTCTAATATATAAAACAAGCTGGTAGAGCTGAATGGACAAACCAAGCTAGGTCATTTGCAAACTTGAAGGTGTTTTCTTTGGTCCTGTTGTTACCTGACAGAAACCTGGAATGGGTCTGCCTCTGGTGGGCCTATAGTGTGTGGGTTCTTGACTTTGTGCAGGAAAGGTTTCACAACATGAGTCAAGGTGATTCTGAGAGTGCGTTTATTAAAGCTGAGAACAGTAAAACAAGGAAAGGCTTAGGATAGAAGAAACAACAGGTGAGAGCCTAAGCCGGGCTGCTTTGGCTCCCTAGAAATGTTATGGGAAAGAAGTGAGGTAAGGCTTTGGCTCACTAGAAAGTCAGAGAAAAGGGGAACTTGGGGATGGATTGAGGGGGTTAGCTCAGGACGAGCTGCCACTGCCCAGTTCTCTCCTGGTTGCAAGTCTAGTGGGGAGCCTTAGAGTTTAGGAGATGCACGCCTGGGGGGAAGAAAGGTGTGGGTGTGCTCCTGGGGGGAGAGCATGCCCTGGCTCCTTCATCTTGAGGGCTTTAAAGGCTGGGAGTTTAAGGAAGGTTTTAGGGGAGGATCTCAGCAGAATTTCATCAGCTTTATGCTGATGCACCAAAAAGAGATATATCCCCTTAACTTTATTCATCCTTGGGTGTGGTTGGCACAAATGGCAGAAACTGGATTTCTGCTATCTATCTCCCTGAGTAGGGTGATTTAAGCTATTTTCCCTGTAGCTGTGGAGGAAATGTGCAAACCATTTACTCTTAAGCGTCCCCAGTTGGGGAAGATAGGGTTTTGCGATTTACTAAATGGCTGTAAACTGTGTGGCCATTTAACTACCTGTGTCGGTTTCCCTGTTCCACTTGTCCTGGCTTACTAGCCTGTCTCGATATGACTTGGATAGATGGTTTCAGAGCAATTACAAGAAGAGATTTCACCACTGGTACTTTTTTATTTTGCTAGTATTTTGAGTTTATATTATTCAGATTAGATCATACTATAGCAAACACTATACGTTCTTTTTCTGCCCAGGATTTTCCTTACCTTGATGTTAGCCTTAGCAATGTGTTTTAGTCTGCTTAGGATTCCATAGCAAAGTAGCACAGATGGGGTGGCTTACACAACTGAAATTTATCTCTCACAGTTCTAGAGACTGGGAAGTCTAAGATCAAGGTGATGGCTTATCCGGTACTTGGTGAAAGACCTCTGCCTTCTTGCTGTGTCCTTACATGGTAGAAAGAGAGAGGCAGTGAGCTCCTGGTGTGTCCTCTTATAAGGACATTAATCCTATAGTCTCAGGGTCTTGCCTTTATGACATCATTTAACCTTAATTACCTCCTAATAGGCCTCATTTCCAAATATAGGCACATTGAAGATTAAGGCTTCAACATAAGAATTTGGGGGCAGGGTGGGGTCACAATTCCATCCATAGCACAGTGCATCCTAAAACAATTAGTTTATAGCAGTTTATTTTTCTGGACTCCTGGAAGGCCATACAACATAATCAAAAGAGCGCAGGATTACACATCAAATCCGTTTCATTCAGTCCTGCCCTGTGCAGCCTGGGACCTTCACTGAAATATGTGGAGCCTCTTTTTCCCACTCTGCAAAGTTCCGGTCACAGGCCTGATCTGGTGTTGGGGAAAAGTGTTGTGCTCATTAAAGCAGCTTCATAATAAATTAGGATATTATGAAGCTAGTCTAGAAACTGTCAAATCCAATACAAATGTTATCATAAAAATATCGACATGTTTTATAGTAGTTGGTGGGAAAGAATCAGAGAACTATGTGTTGCATTTGAATTTCCAAACCTTAATTAAGGTTCATATTGTTCTCCAAAGCAGACAGTTTTGCCTTGAGGTGATTTACTGACAAGCACAAAGGCAGAAGTATTTCAAAGGTGATTATTATTTTTATTCCATCCACAGTACAAAAAAAGGAGATTCAAAGAGGGAAGGGGGTAAAAGTTTAGCTGTCACGACTCTAAGCTTGCCTGGTGGCGTGAAGGTTGAGGTAGTGTTCTGGACTCTCAGATAGAAAAAAGCATGGGAAGAGTGAGTTGGGAAATCCTGAGATGGAGCAGTCGGTGGAGCTGTTCCTTCTTTCTAAAAAATGTTTCTCCCATCTGTGTGGTAGCAATAAATGAAGGTTGTCACAAATGTGGACTATCGGTCTCAACGCCTAATAAGGGGGAAGGCTTATCTGTTAGGTCTCCCCAGCTATCTTTGCTTCTCTGTAAGAGGTCTGCCCTGTTCAATGGTTCTAACGTGGTATTTCACAGCATTTTTCTGGTTATCATCTCAACAATCAGCTTATGTCAAGCATTTCTGGTGCCCACCTTCTCTGCTATACATCTATTTACCTATACTATATTTCTAAATAAATTTTTACTAAAACATACGTTTTCTTTCTTTTAGTTTTATATTTCAATTGCAGTTGACACTCAATATTATTTCATATTAGTTTTATGTGTATAGCGTTGTAGGTAGACAATCATATATTTGACAAAGTGATTCCTCCGATATTTCCAGTACCCACCTGACACCATACATAGTTATTACAATATTATTGACTATATTCCCTNGTATAGCGTTGTAGGTAGACAATCATATATTTGACAAAGTGATTCCTCTGATATTTCCAGTACCCACCTGACACCATACATAGTTATTACAATATTATTGACTATATTCCCTGTGCTGTACTTTACATCCCCATGACTATTCTGTAACTACTAACTTGTACTTCTTAATCTCCTCACCCTTTTCACCCCGCCCTCCAACCACCCTCCCCTCTGGCAAGCATCAGTTTGTTCTCCAAATCTATGAGTCTGTTTCTGTTTTGTTGTTCAAATATTTTGTTCTTTAGATTCTTCACAGAAGTGAAATCATATGGTATTTGTCTTTCTCTGTCTGACTTATTTCACTTAGCATAATACCCACTAAGTCCATCCATGCTGTCACAATGGTAAGATTTAATTTTTATGGCNCTTTTTTATGGCCTAAAACATACATTTTCAACTGTGTATTGTTTGTACACGCAATCCATATTTATAAAGAAAAATGTCACAGTACTCCTAATCCAATACTCCAAAATATTAAGAGTTGAACAGCAGAATCCTCCGACAGATTGAGAATTATACTCCAAATCTTTCTCTCCTACTAAAGGCAATAAAGATNTTTATGGCCTAAAACATACATTTTCAACTGTGTGTTGTTTGTACACGCAATCCATATTTATAAAAAAAATGTCACAGTACTCCTTATCCAATACTCCAAAATATTACGAGTAGAAAAGCAGAATCCTCTGACAGATTGAGAATTATACTCCAAATCTTTCTCTCCTACTAAAGGCAATAAAGATGATCCTAGTAATTTGATTTTCAGCATCTTAAGTCTCAAGGTCTGCTGGTCTTATTTCTTCCTTTTGAGGAGGCCCACTAAGTGTGCACAGCTTGGCAACATTTTTCTCTGAATGGCCAGATAGCAAGTTTTTAGGCTTTGCAGACTGGACAACCTCTGTTGCAGCTACTCAGCTCTGCCACTGTAGCATGAAAGCAGCCATAGACAATACATGAACAAATGAGTGTGGTGTTCTAATAAAACTTTATTTATAAAAACTGGTGGTAAGCCTTATTTGGCCACAGGCTTTAGCTTGCCAAACCCTGCTCTAAGGGATCAGTGTCCCTTCTCTGCACTAGGGATATCTCTTTAGCTATNTCCTGCTCTAAGGGATAAGTGTCCCCTCTCTGCACTAGGGATATCTCTTTAGCTATTCTCTTCCTGTTCTAGTTGGAAGCCCGCATATGAATTTATGGATGGGGAATTCCATGACTTACATGTAGTTCAAAGATACTAGATGTTTAATGATCCTTGTCTTCATTACTTTTAATGCCTTTAATATTTAACATTTGGTTTTCTTTGGGATATGTTATCATGTACATATAAATAAACAAAAAGCTACAGCCTTTCTTTGAAGGCACAGAAGAATAATGTTTTAGCACTAGTTCAAGAACTCACAAATACTGTAGTCTATTTACAAAGAGTTTCATTCTGAAACCAATTTAGCCTTAAATGATTTTTCACATATCGAGAGCCAGGTTAAAAGCATTTAAGTTAACAGAGTAATAGCTTCTGGAATTTCAAATTCATGAGGCAATTCATGCAAATATGCTGCATGCATTTATTAAAATTATTTTTTGTGAAAGCTCTTCAAGCAAGAGAGG